ACCCAGGTTCCCTTACTCAACAGGGAGCACCTGGAGGGCAGCACCCAGGTTCCCTTACTCAACAGGGAGCACCTGGAGGGCTGGACCCACACCTCCTCTAAGTTTCTCTGCTCCTAGCACAGTACCAAGCATGTAACAGGTAATTAATATGTTGGGGTTTGTTTTGTTTTTGTTTTAAATAAAGCCAAATGAATGAATGAGCATCTAACAATGGTTTCCTTCTGTCACTTAGTTATTGAATAAAGCAACAATGACAATAACATGGATCCTGAACACCTGGCACTTAGTCCAAGCATGTGCTGGTAGCATAGTGGGCTACAAGTTGGACTGCTAACCATAAGATCAGCGGTTTGAACCTAGCAGCCGATGCACAGAAAACAGATGAGGCTTTCTGCTCTCATAAAGATTTAGCCTCGGAAACCCTATACAGGGTGACTATGAGTTGGGACCAATTCCACAGCACATAACCACCTCCCACCATCCAGTGTGTCGCTGCAGGTTAATGCACTGGACTGCAAGGTTAGTTTGAACCACAAGGTCAGTGGTTCGACCTTACCAGCAGCTCCTCGAAAACCCCACACATAGTTGCTGTGAGTCGGAACCTACTTGACGTCCCTCAACAGCAGCAGCCACAGTTCAGCAAACACTTCCTGGGCTGTGGGATGGATCAGGAAAACACGCTTGGGGCCATGTGAGGCAAAGTGATTTGCCCGGGCCCCACAGCTGGGCAGTGGCTGAGCTGGCATGGACAACTGGCACCCCTGGACCACCCAACTTCAGTCTCAAGAGTGGTGATGCTAGGACAAGCGTTACAGATAAACGATCTCCCCCTCCTCTGCCACCTCTCCCCCAGCAGCTGGGGAGGTCTTTGGTAGCCATGCTGGACCAGGCCATCCTTCCTCCTAGGGTCACAAACTCCTGGTGTTGCTATGGCAACCCATGATCTGGAAAATAGCTCTTGTGAACAGAGAAGCCTCAGCCCAGGAGCCATGTGTGCCTATTGTGGCCCAGTGATGGTGATGTGCCTGGAGGAGCTGGGCCAGGAAAGGTCTTGAGTGGGCTTATGAGAACTGGCAGTAGACCTGAAAAAGCAGCCTTAAGACAGAGGCAGACGGGCCTGCAGTCAGGCCTGGTCAAGAGGGGTCAAGGTATTTGTCAAGGGCAGAGCAGGGCTGCGGGCCCCATGCCCCTCTCCTTAAAAAGCGGGGCTTTGGGGTGACTGGGCAACTAAGTCTGAGGAATGGAAGCAAGAGAAGAGGCTGAGTCAGGGGAGGCTCTGCAGAAGCTGGAAGTAGAGGTGCCGCATGCTAGTGGAGTGTAGGGTGAGTGTATTCCTCTGAAGGAAAGGGGAGGGGAAAAGGGGAAATGGGCTTAGGGGCCTAAAATGTGAGCAGGTAGCAGCAGTAGGTAGCTTCCTTCTTCTAGGCCAACACAGGGAATATGGGCTGTTCTGCTCCCTCTCACCACCACTATTGGGTAGAGAACAAAGCCCATCAGCCCCGGCTGGGAACAGTTCTTGAAGGGAACATCTTTCCTTGACCCCACAGACCTTGCAGTTCCTTGTGTTTCAGCATGGGCTCCTGTTTTAAAGAAGTTCTTTAAGGGACCAGGGCTACTCCATGGAGTGAGGACGTGCCTGTTGCTTGAGGCCTCTCTGAGGTCCTACCCTCCAGATTGAGCCTGGGGCAGGGGAGTGCCCATCAGCCACCTAAGAAGCAGCTAGAACCCCATGTACGGGTCACTTTTTGGTTGGTGCTGCCTCCACCTCCCCAGCCTCAGCATCCATCCCCCAGAGCATCAGTCGGGGGGGCTCACTACCCTTAACCCCTCTCACTAGTGAATTGGTATGTGCCCTGGAGTCCATTCCAATTCATAGCAACCATATTTAGAGGGCCCTGGTGCCACAGCGGGTTAAGCAGTGGGTTGCTACTCAAAAGGTTGGCTGTTTGAACCACCAGCCACTCCATGGGAGAAAAACGAGGCAGTCTTGTTCCATAAAGATTCACAGCCTCGGAAACCCTAAGATAGTCTACTCTGCCCTGTAGGGGCTCTAAGAGTCGGAATCAACTCGGCAGCAGCAGTGGCATGAGTGGCGGGAGCAAAGTCTTTATGGTAGATCACCAGGTCTTTTCTCCCAAGGAGCTGCTAAGGGACTTGAACTGCTGACCTTTGATTAACAATCGAGTGCTTAACAATTGTGTCATTAAGGCGCTTCATAATCGCCATAAAAAAAGCCACTGCTGTAACTCAGTCCTGACTCATGGCAGCCCTAGAGGACAGAGCTGAATGTCCCTACATAATCCTTACGGAAGCAGACTGCCTCCTCATTGTTTTCTTCCACAGAGTGGCTGCTAGGTTCCAATCACTGACCTTCTGGTTAGTAAGTAGCCAAGTACTTATCCACTCGACCACCAGAGCTCCTCGCCCTCAGTTTAAACACCTTAAACCAAGCAGTTTATTCATTTAAGTTCACTAAAACTTTACCCAAGGAGCCTGTGCACAGAAAACAGAATATGAGAGGACTTCATAAGGTTTGTGGGAAAATGGAATGAAAAGATAATGAAAGTTTTCCACAAACTTTCTGAAGGTCCCTCATATACAGACAAGATACCGCCTCAAACTCTAGCGCCTCAGTGGGGAGTTTCAGCTGAAAAGACTGATGGGAGTCCACATTACACAACTCCAGAACTGCTGACGGTAGCAGCAGTCCATCAAGGACAGCCCACTGCCGTCCCTTCTCCGGCCTTACCTCGTTGTTGACAAAGCAGTACAAGATGGCCACCATCAGTCCCTGAAAACAAGAGGCGGGTCAGCAGGGAAGGAGCCATACGCAGGAGCCCTGCAGACAGGCCCTGGTCTGAAGCTCCTCAGGGCTCAAACCCCAACACCTCCCCCTCCCATTGGGCAGCCCAGGCAGGCCCAGAAATGGTGGTGGTGGACTCTTCCTCACTTCCATCTGGCGGAACAAGATGGGCCCCTTGTCAGATCCTGCCAGAGCTGTACAACCACGCTCTCCTTGAGGAAGCCCGATAGAATGACGGCCACTGGCCTCTGACCTTGGCCCCATTTGGTCACTCAGAAAACCTGAGTCCTCCAGATTTGCATTCTTTCTTTCTCTGTGTCACATGTTCCATAACCCTCTGGAAGGGCTGGGACTAATTTCTTATTTTTTCATACCCCCATTGCTACTCTTACTCAATACCATCTACACTAGTGGAAAGGATCAATTCTTGGTGTCAGAATTATGGGACCCCATAAATAGGACTTTAATATCTTGGAGGCTCAGTTTCCTCATCTGTAAAATGGGAAGAATCCTGTAATTAAAAGCACAATGTGTGAGAATACCTGGCCAGGTACATGCCAACCACGGTGGCTCCATACAGTGCAGCTCACAGGCAGTCTGACTGCGCAGAGCATTATCCAGGAAGGCTTCGTGACCAAGGCACTTAGAAGACTGGCCTGGGAGGCGGGACCCCTGGTGACAAATCCTAGCTCTGCTCCCGCCATGTGACTTGGGCAAGGGCCATGTCCCCCCAGGCCTCTGCTTGCCATCGACATGATTTAGGCTCGACTCAGCCCCACCCCCACGCACACTCGGACTTCCCAAGTGCCCGGGCTGTGAGGTCACCTGGAAGGAGGTGAAGGAGAGCTCTGTGAACAGTTTGATGAAGCGCAGCGTCCCCCGGGCGTGCTCATCCATCACGAAGGCAAAAATGACCTCGTGGGTCCCCAGCAACGGGATAAGCGTCAGCGTGGACTTGGCAAGTCTGGTGGCAGGGAGAAGAGGTTATTCTGTGCCCCTTCCCCAGCTCTAGCATCCAGGCCATAGACACTTTCCTACTCAAATACTTGGGACAGGCAGCCTGGATAGGAGGAAGTAGGGGTCAACACGTCCCCAGAAGCCCAGCGGTGGGGGCAAGACTTGACTCCTAGGCCAGGACTGGATGGGAGAAGAGAGTTGCATAGGACCCCAATCTCCGTGCCCTATGATCGTGTTGAGGGTCCCCAGGAGAGCCAGCTCTGTTATATGTTACCTGCACTTGATGTCTGTCTTGCACATAAGATTGGCCTTCAGTTTGGCCACCACGATGCAGATGACCCGGACAAAGATAAGGAAGTTCACCTGCAGGGCAGATAGGCAGTGGCTGGGGTCCTCTCATGATGCCCACTTTCCCCCAGTCCTTCCCCTGGCGCCACTGCAGGCACACCCTAAGCCCTACTCCACCCCTCTGCAGTTACTTACTCCAATGGCAAAGAGGATGGGCAGGCGGATAATGAGCCAGTAGTTCATGTTTGAGTTCCTGGTCCAGCAACTGGGGAGGAAGAGAGACACTCATGAGCATCCACACTCCTTGTGGCACACATACTTAAGCACTCCAACTGAACAGTTGGTAGTTCAAACCCACCCAGTGGCTCCAGGGGAGAAAGACCTGGTGAGCTGCTTTTGTAAAGATTACAATTTAGCAAACCCTCTGGGGCCGCTCCACTCTGTCCCACGGGGGGTGCTATGAATTAAAAATCAACTCGATGACACCTAATGACAACATCCACACAGGAAGCCCAGCATACAGTGTGGACACAGAAACACAAATACACATGGCCATGGGAAGCCACACACACCTGCCACCCATCAAGTAGCCCGCAGATGCACACAGTCCTACTACACGGTGACACACAGAGGGCCACACGCCTCCAAACAAGCTGTCACAGACCTACAGTCACAGCCCTGTAGATCCCCAGCACCATACACAACACAAGCATTCAATTCACAGATATTCTAGAACAACCTGCAAGAGGGCACCATGTACCCATGGACACAGCCATGCTTGTCATCATACAATCCCTGGAGAGAGAGGGATTAAAGAACTAGGTTCCTGGCCCCTTCACCTAGCCTCCCAACAAGGTGGGAGGCACATGCCCAGGGACTAAGGAATCCCATAGGCTTTGAGGATTGGAACCTCAGCATACTCAGCCCCCTTGGAGCAAGACACTCACCCCTCATCCTCATAGAGGTACTTGATGATGCCCCAGGGGGTAACAAACAGCAGGGGAACACCTAAGAGGAGAGAGGAAAAAGGGAGAAGGGCTGGCAGGCTGAGGCACATCCATGCACTGGGTCTCACGGTCCAAGTTTTCTAGCAGCGATGGAACTAGGCTGGCCCAGGGGCATGGGAGAACAGATGGCTGGAATCCTACCGTGGCTTTCCCATGCCCCTTAGAGAGAGACCCCATCATTATGATCTGTATTATGATCATCACTAGTTTGCTCCCTCCCCAAGCACACCGTCCTGGCCTGCCCCTATGTTCCATGTGAGGTATGAGGACACAGGTACCCAACAACAGAGGGCCAGGGCCATGGAATGGACAGGACGGTTAGATGAAGTGGGGAGCAAGCTTTGGCCCACATGCTCATTTCATTTGATCCCTCCAATCACCCACTTCCATCTGCATGCACCTGCAACTGATCAGAGTAGAGGCCTGGAGTAGAGAAAGGCTAGAGCCCTATCCTTGATGCCAACTAACTGTCCACAGTGGCCTACCATGCTAACAGCTGCAACAATAAGAATACTCTTCACTTGACAGAGAATGGTTATAACAGGAAGCCTCCAAGATGGCCCCCAAGGATAGCCAACTCCTGGCATTCACGCCCTTGTGTAGTTCTTAAGTGTCTCAGGATTGGTCAGTAGGACCAATAGCATATGGCAGAGGTGATGATATGGTTACTTCTGAGATTATGTTATAAAAGACTCTCTGGCTTCTGTCTTGGGCTTGCTCTCTCTTTGATCCTTGTTCTGGGGTAAACCAACTGTCAAGATATGAAGGCAGTCAGGTAGCCTATGGAGAGGCCCCTGTGGTAAGAATGGAGGTCTCCAGCCAACAGCTGGCAAGGAACTGAAGCTTCTTGCAACAAGTTCATGAATGAGCTTGGAAGCAGATTCTCATCTCCAGTTCAACCCTGGCTGAGTTTGACTACATCTCTGTTAGTGATATGGAGCCAAAGCTATTGAGCGGTGTTGAACCCAGATTCTTGACTCATCAAAGCTAGGAGATAACAAACACATGGGTATTGTTTTTAGCAGTGAAGTTTTGGGATAATTTGTTCCACACCAATAGATGGCTAATACAACTGACTGCCAATTCCATGAAGGCAGAGCTTTGACCTTATTTACCTTCAAAGCCTCGGTATTTAACTGAGAGCTCAAAATACAAAGGTAAGTCAAAAACTATTGCTACAAAATCATAAAAATGTTTATTAAACAAATATAAAAAAAATGGGAAGCTGTTGTTTCTAAGCATGCCCACCATCTAGGTCTACATAGTTCTGAAGGGGGTGTTTCCAGGTCTCTAACCGTCCCCATAGAATTCTGAACCTTTTGTTCTACACCACATCAAAATGGCAGTTTTGGTATCCTCGGGGGCCTTAAATCATGATCCTTGGAAATGTTCCTTGAGTTCGGGGAACAAAAGAAGCTTGACAGGACAAGATCAGGGCTGTAGGGTGGAAGGGGTAAGAGTTCCCAATGATATTCTCATAGGACAGGCCTTGCTACTCCTAAAAAATGAGCAGGTGCATTTTTGTGATGGGAAAAAAATAAAATCCTTGGTGTAACTCTCCTGGCCTCTCTCTCACCAATACAGTTGTCAATTTTCTTAAAACTTCTTTATAATAAGCCCTCATGATCATTCCTTGTCCATCAAAAAAATCTATCAAGATTACCCCTTAGGAATCCAAAAAAAGCAGTTGCCATGACATTCTGACCTGACCTCTCTGCCTTGACTTTAACAGATGCTCTTAGAAGCTACTGTTTCAATTAGAGGTGGCACTGTAGGATAAGGTACTGGACAGGAAGCTTGGCTTGAACTGCAAGGTCTCAGTTCAAACTCACCAGTTGCTCCTTGGAAATCCTGTACAGGGTCTTTGTGAGTCGGAATTGACTCGACAGCACTTAACAGCAACACAACAACAACAGGACGAGTACACATGTTTTACTGAGAGAATTTGTCTGCAGCCATCCACTGATCTCAGAGACATGGTTAAACATGCTTGGTTTGGAATAAACCCATGCATGTATGAACTGGAGTCCTAGTAGCAACAGTTTTCGACTTACCCTCGTGTGTTTGTAGATTTAACATTGGAATGTCCATCCTCACATGACCGATAAGGAAATGGATCAGGAGCTCAGGAGGGTAGAGGTGGGATTAAAACTCAGGGTAGCATTTCCATGCCCGTTCCAGCCACCCTCCATGGCTCTCTACCCTGATTCTTTGCAGGCCTGTCTCACACCTGAGATGTGGGTGTCTGAGATAGGTAAGGGTGTGCGTTCTACAGCAGTTATTGAGCATCTCTTGTGCTTGACTGGACTGGGCTTGGTGACGCAGATACCGGGAGGGAGGACACAGAGCCTGCTGTGGAGGAGCTCCCAGCTGGTCAGCCTTCTTTATCCAATACCTCTCTCCTCATCCATTGACTTCTACATGCACCAGATCTGTAAGTATCCACTAGGCTTTAGTAACAGGGTTTCTGTGGGGCTGGGTCAGGGATTGGATGACCTCCACATAGGGTGGGGTCTGCCACACAGATGATGGCCAGTGAGAGTGGAATGAATGAGTTAATGAAGAGACAATGAATCGGTATCAGTGAGGCAAGAACACGCCATCTCCCAGAGCCACACATACACATTGACGCTTCCTTCTCAGGCAGACCCAGATACTTGCTGTCTTTTCTGTCAGACAGCTCTCCAAGATATGAGCATTTACTCATGCTATTGTCCATCCTAGATGAACTTCACTCATTCGTAAGTTTAGTGGATTGAATGATGCCCGCCCCCCAAAAAAAAATATGTGTTGGAATCTTAACCTCCATACTTGTGGGTGTAGAGTATCCCCATTTGAGAATAGCGTTTGTTAATGAGGCCGTATCAGTGTAGGGTGTATCTTAAATCTAATCATTTTTGAAATATAAAAAGGGCAGATGAGCCATGAAGCAAACAAGCACAAATGGAGGAATGATCGATGCCACATGGGGATCTCCAAAGATTTCCCCGCAGAGCTGACAGGCAGAAAGCTTTCCCCTAGAGCCAGTGGTCTGACTGTGAACTTGTCATCTTCTGAACTGTCAGAAAATACATTTCTGTTTATTAAAGCTACCCACTTGTGGTATTTCTAGTACCACAGTGCAGGATTACTATGACAATTAACTTCTCCTAACAAGGCCTTTTTAAAAAGCACAGGCATAGCCCTGCCACATGCAAACACTGTTGTTGCTGTTAAGTGTCGTCGGGTTGGTTCCAACTCATAGTGGCCCTGTACAGTGTTTACACAGGAAGATGGAGAAGGATGGGAGCTGGAGCTATGTGCCAAGGCCAAACACACATGCTGGGGACCTGAGTCTGATAAGCTGGGATCACAGGGTCTTAAAGAGAGACAGCTCAGGGTAGAGATCTTCACAGGGGGGCCCAGAGCCTGGGCTCCAGGAGGTCTGGGTTCCAGTGCCTGCTGCACCTTTAAGGCCCGGCCCCTTGGTGGACGTTGTTACTCTCAAGCATGTTAGATCTACTCTTCCACACCGGAGTGGTACAGACAAACTGAATGAAATGCAAGGACGGGTCAGGGAGGTTGAGAGGGACAGAGAGGGCACAGAGCCATGAGGTTGAGGCACCCTGGGCACTTCCTGAAAAGGTAGGATAGCAGTCCTGGTCTGTGGACAGCCTCACTAAGATGCAGAGGCAGGAGCCGGAAAGAGGTAGGGGAAGGCATCCAGGGAGGCGTCTGGCTTTGACAGGTGAAATTCCCTGGTGTGTGAGGATGATGGGATGAACACAAGTCCTCCTGGGTGTCGGGGCAGCAATGGTCAGCATGCCCTGAAGCAGGTGAGTGAGGCATGAGAAGAATGAGTGAGTGAGTGAGTGACAGCCTCGAAGTGGGGAGGCTGGGGAGCAGGGTCTGAGGTTGTGGGGCAGGGATGACAGAAGATTAGGAAGGGCCAGAGGGCAGGGCCTACTTTCTGTCCTTCCTTTGTGACCGCCTACGGGCTCCTCCAGAGGAAAGGTTGCTGCCTCTGGTTTCTGGTAGCATATGTGGGGCTCGAGCCCCCCACCTCACCCCTCCAGCCCACATGGTGAGAGGCAGAAGCACAACCAGAAATGTTTCAGCAAAAAAAAAGACACTACGGTTCTTCACAAACTTTTTCGGCTAGAACATTTCCAGCTGGGCTCTAGGCACATCCATGATCCATCCCTTTCCTTGGTTGACCTCTGGTCACCCCACTCACATCGCTCTCCTCCGGAGTCTTCTCTTCATCATCACATGACCATGTCAGGGCCCCTCAGCCCCCATCCTTTTCCCCGTGCTCTCTATCCAGCCTGAGAGCCAGGTCTCCCCATCTCCCCAAGGGCCACAGATTGTCCAGGACTGGGTGTGGGAATCCATCCCCAAAGGATCTAATCTGAGGTACCATGCCATGACACTCCCCCTCTCCCCAGTGGCATAGGCAAGGGTGAGTGTGGGTATATTTGGCCTGTTTCACCTGAGGAAGGCCATGACCCCCACAGTGGATGCTGTACCCAGGGATTTTCCAGTGGGCCTTGCCCCTTGGCCTAGAGCCACCATGCCACAGGTCCCAGGGTAGGAGAGAGGGGGGTGAGTGATGGTGGACCTTACCCCAGCCTATGCTCAGGTAGATTCTGAAGACGCGCTGTTCGGAGAAAACTGAGAAGGCCAGCAGCGTGTACAGGTACACCCCCTCCACCAGAAGCCAGTAGTAATTGGCTGCTACGCAGTACTGCATGAGCAGGAAGACCAGGCGACAGCCCACAGAGTCCTGGGGACAGAGGCAAAGACAACAGCTCTACTTCCAGCCTCTCTTAGCCCCTTTCCCCGCCCTGGCCCGGCTGCCATCTGGTCCAGGAAGACAGAGCTAAGATCATCTGCCCAGAGCTATTGCTCAGAACCTGACCTGCTTTCACACCCTGACTCCTCATTAACCTGAGTGGAAGAAGCAAATGTTATCCCCAGACTGACGAGAAAACTCAGGTCAGAGAAGTTAAGCGATTTGCCCCAAATAATGCAGCTAGTGTGTGGCAGAGCTAGGATTCAAACCCACATCTGTCTGCAAGGATGACTCCTGTGTCAGAGTGAGAACTCCGTGTGGCAGGGCAATGTCTCCCTCCTCAGACTGGGAGCTCTCCATGGTGGACAGCCTCTTCTTCTATCAGACTAGGGGCTCCTCAACCTCATGGCCATGTCTCCTTCAGATTGGAAGCTCTCATTGTAGACTGTCTCTCTTCAGACAAGGAGCTCCCTGAGGGTCAGGAGTAGGCAAGTCTTGCCTGTTCTTGCCCCAGGCCTGGGGGGAGAAAGGTCTACCCCGACCATTCCTCCCTCCCCAGTCCTCTTGGACATGGCCACCCACCTGGTAGGAGAGGAGTCCATCCCACTGGTGCTGCTGGGCAGCTGTGCTGTACATCCACTTGAGGGCTGCGTCCTTGATGAAGACGGACAGAGCACGGAGGATGAAGGATGCAAACAGGTTCAGGTGGATGTAGTTCCGGGTGCAGTGTAGGTGTCTGCAGGAGAAAGCAGGGACTCCTCTGACAAAGCCCAGCTGTCAGGCGAACACATATATATGCCTGCTTCCAGCTCTGGACGTGTGCTCCTGTCTTCCTTCCTCTGAGAATGCTGTCTTCTCCTCAATTTTGAAAATCTTTTGGGTCCAACTCAAGTCCTGCCTCTCCTTGACGACTTCAGGTGTGGTCCCCTGCCCCATTCTAGCTTTCTGTCTGCAGTATCTTCCGCCATACACAGGCATGTGTAACCAAAGTGATTTATGTGTGAGGATCAGTTTCCCCAAGGGGGACTGCTTTACTTATTGATGGCAGGGCCCATGTCTTACGTATTCCCTGCCTACCTCACACAGGTAGCTCCAACCAACCTGGTGGTGGCACAGGGGATAGACCTGGTGGTCTGCTTTCAGCAAGATGACAGCTAAGAACACCCCAGGGGCAGCTCTACTCTCTCTGTCACCCGGGTCGTTATGCTTGAGTTAAAAATGGACGCAATAGCATCTAATAGCAATAACTTACATGGGAAAATGAAATGTAATCCCTTATTTACAAACATACATGGAAATAAATTCCAAGTAGATCCAACAAGTACAAGAGAAAGGCAAAACTCTGAAACTTAGGTTACTGTTTT